CGCCCTCCGTATGGAGCGCCCTCCTCCAGTGTCCTCTGGCGCCGTACCGTCGGTAAGACCGATTTCAGCGCCGTCCTCGATTCCGGCGATCCCACAGATATATTGCTGCAACATTATGTAATATTTCAATAATTAATTAATTTTTATTAATCATAATTACAATTTTTATTAATTACATTTTTAAAATATAATTATTGCTCACATTTCAAAATACATATGATAAAGTATGATAAAAAACAGCTCACAATGGATTATCGCGATGGATCTGTATACTTATGTATTTGTATATTTGTGTACATTTTGTATAAGTATATGCATAATATTATCTAAAAGTTAAGTAGCGGACGTCTATGTTGTCTCAGTAATAAAATGAATAAGTATAAAAATGAAAATAACGTTTTGTCTTTTTTTACGATTTTCTCCAAAACGTAACAAAAACGAGCATCTTCAAAGAACTTTTTTTTCTCACATCAATTCCCTGCACATTCCCCAAGTTTTGACATTTAAACTAGAACACGCTGTATGAGAAATTTGTAAATTATGAAATTCTCCAAGTGTAAAATAGTACACGTTAAGATTTAAAATAGTATCAGAGTTCATAATCTTATATTGTTTTCAATTTTTGCATTAAGTTTTTTGGAAAGAAGACAAATATAATAAACAGATGAAAAATATAATTAACGACTGGTATTTAAAGTTCTCGATAGCGGAATTACGAAGAGCGTTGATTAATTGGAATTCATTATGCAATACAGTGATTACGAGAAGACGGAGAATCCTTTCGAGGTCGCTCGATCTCTCGCACAACTTCGCGAATTTGTTAAACTTGCGTCAGACCATATGCGATTTGTAATTCGTGACAATTTGAAAATTGAAATTAGTTTATATGAGATATGCGAATAGTATAAATGGACATATTCGTCAAGTACACATTTGCCGTATTAATTCGCTAATGAAGTAGCTTTTTTAACAAAATTAAAAGGCTCCAAATCAACACAAATCAAGCAAGTTTTATAATCGTCTCAATCTTTCTAATCGATTTTGTAATTTTTCCCTCCCTTTCTTCCGCGGATCGCGAAACTTTCGAGGTTCTGAGATAGGGTTGCGATTTACAATTAGACGATCATTCTGATCCGGAGAAAAAATCCGGACGAAAAAAGAAACAAATTAATGTGTATCAAGTGCTTTATAAAAATGATCAAAACAAAAATAATCCAAAAATATAAAATAAAAAACGATTAAGGAATCAAGAAATAAAACAACTTTGATAAATAAAAAATATATAAATTATGTACATATGTATAATATTTGTCATTGCTCTACATATTATCTACCCATTCTAAAAAAAATTCTTTCTATATAAGCATTGCTTACAGGTACTGACAAATTGTTCAAATTTATTTTCATTTTTTTTATTAAAAAACATGAACGTTTTGTTCTATATTGTTCTATATCATGTTAACTTATTGAGAGTTCTTCAATTATTTATTTATAATAAAAATAATGATCAAACTAGAAACTCGGACATAAGCCTCCAATACCCAATGGCAACCCTTCAAAGGTTAAAATCTTCGCGCGAATTCTGCGAAAGGAGTCGACAGGAAGGGACCGACGCGTGTTTCCTTTAAGTAATTCTTCAGTTAGACAAAATTACGAATCTCGTCGTGTCAGCCGAGTCGGTTTTTAGAGTGAGACCGATCAACTTTCGCATCCTGGATTCCTTGGGCGACTTTATTATACGGGTTGAAAAAAAGATGGAGAGAAGACGCGCGGAACGCGCGAGACCAATTGGACGGGAAAAGTTTTGAAAGTCGTCCCTTCTGCTTTTCTCCTATAGCTCCTTCGATTCTTCTTTCTGATCGTCCCTCTACCCAACGACTTGATTCTTCCTTTACTTGTTGGCGCGAAACTTTCCACTCTTTGAGATTGAAAGGATCGTCGGTGGCTCGCGAAAGTAGGAGTTGCCGATTGAGTATGCAACTGCAGGCCGTTGCATCGGGACGCAATTGTTCGTGGGTCGTTTACGCGCGATTCCTAGAATTCCTAGAATTCGTTTTCCTCCCTTTTTTTCTCTCTCTCTCTCTCCATTTCTCTCCCCATTTTCTATGGCAAGACACCCACCAAGTAAGTGCAATGTACAAGCGAGATAAAGTGGAGCACAACAAAAATCGATTCCGTGATTGTAATTGCGGTAGCAAATAAAAAAAGGATTGTGGATCCGGGAAAGCGTTGTGTCACGCGATTTCTGGATTCTAGCTTGCGTGCCCGCCACAATTCCTGCCGGATGTATTGTTGGATTTAAAATAATTTCGCGGTGAGTCGTGTCAATCGGGGAGAAAACTCACAGCCACAAAAGTCGCGTGAATCGTACTTCAAAAGAATTACACATTTATTAAACATCGGACTCTCTCTCTCTCTCTCTCTCTCTCTCTCTTACACGCACGCACGCACGCACGCACGCACGCACGCACGCACGCACCGTGGTTGTGACGCGTTTTTTCGGTAACAATAGTCGAGATTGCTTTTTCCGTCTTTATGTTTTCGCGAAATTCGCTCGCGCGAAGTATTTTCAGGAAACTTTTACATCCGGCACATTTAGGTTATGCATGATCATTACATATCTATTAAATAATAATGTAAAAAGTAATAATGCACATGTTTTTTGATCCTTATAGGTTCTTTCCGATACGAGTCGATGTGATTGGTGCGCTGACTTTGTCAGTGTGTCTCCTCAATTATTCTTTGTTAATTGAAATTTCCTTCCTTCGCTACATGGTAATTACGCGAGAACGGGAGAGCGAAGAGAATACTGTTAACACTTTACTCTCGTGTCTTTCTTTCTCTTTCTTTCTCTCTCTCTCTCTCTCTCTCTCTCTCTCTTTTTCTCTCTTTTTCTCTGGCATCAATTTGCTTATTATATCTTATGTTATAATTGTAGCAATTGTACTGTTCTTTTTTTTTATAATATTTGTATGTTTTTAGAAGTTGTGATCCTATAGAGTCTAATGAATGACGATTTTGATTCTGTTTCTCTCTTTTTCTTTTCATTTTTGTTTTCTACATCTTATGTTATAGATAATTGTAGGTAACTGTACTTTTTTTTAATAGCTTGCGGGAATTAAGTGCACACATTTATTTTAAGCATCTAGATGTCAAAAATATCGTATCTCTTTTTCCGGCAGTGTTCGAAATTTGTTTCGTTTTTGCGTCCTTTCATGCGAGATCTGTCGACACTATCGACAGCCTTAAGGCTTCTGAGTAGTCACAGACATATTGAATCGTGACGTCAGAAGTGAGAAATCACACGTTAATTTATGTTGCATGCCATTTGTAAATAAAGACAATTTGGATAAAACAAAATGATGATATTGTTTTAAAAACATTTGTCAAAATCGACGAAAACTATACTTATCCCCCCTGACAGTCAGTAAATAATCGTAAAAAGTGATGAAAGGCACGTATAAGTGAAAATAAACTACTCTCTAAATCTGAATCAATGGATAGTCACTATAATTACCCACTTGGCATTGATAATCAGTAAAGTTCAATTAAAAAAGGAAAAATATTTGAATGTTTATATAACTAAAATATTTTGATATTTGCATGTTAATTTCAATCTTTCAATACCATATTCATTGAATTTATGCACTAAAATAAGGTTAGTTAGATCACATAATAAAGATCAACTAGGTTAGGGATCTCACATTTCAATCACTGATTACCAGTAGCATATTTGGCACTGATATCAGTGATTATCCACTGATTCAGATTTAGAAAGTACGCATGCACATTGAATAAAAGCACCTCATGTGCCTTTTATCACTTTTTACGATTATTCACTGACTGTCAGGGGGGATAAGCATAGTTTTCGTCGAATTTTACAAATATTTTAAAGCAATATCATCATTTTGTTTTATCTAAATTGTCTTTATTTACAAATGGCATGCAACATAAATTAACGTGTCATTTCTCGCTTCTGACGTCACGATTCAATATGGCTGTGGTGACTACTTAGGAGCCTTAACGAGAGGATATTTTCGAAGCACATTTTCTATGGTTCTGGTTAGAAGAATAGGGAAAGGGACAAAGGTGTCTTTATCAGGATATCATCCTGAGGAGTCCTGGCGTCGTCACGACTCTCGATTTAACGCAGCGACGATCCCGGTGAGTTCCGTCACGACGCCACTCGTCGCCCGACTCGCCTACAAATGAGCTCGCAAAGCGCCAGCAGCTTTAAGGTTAATAACCTCATCTTCGAGCGTTGAGCGAAATTAAATTGGAGCTTTTCTTGCCGGTAAGCTGCGACACGTGCGACACGGCCGACTGGAGCCGGTGGGCGAGAGAACCAGCACTGGAGAACAGTCCCAGCGTAAGCGGCCTCCCTTCGTCAAGCTTCGATCGAAAAGCCAGTTTCTATTCTCGATTCCTTCTTCCCTTTACTTTCCCTCATTCTCGCGAAACTTGGACGATACGACCGTAGCACTTGTAAGCTTCTCTTACAAGTGTAATCCGAATTTGCGGCGGACATGGTTAAATAGAATTTCTCTTCAAGGACTTGAATTTCACTGTCTCGAACCTTGATCGTAACTGTGGTCATAATGTCAATGTAACAATTATCATTCGTCATTATTTCCATCGTCTTGTGTTGAAGAAAGGTTTGTGACCACACGGATTTGCAATGAACGGTTAAAGAAAATATTCTAGTATTGTGAATGTTCTATCCCACGTACACTTTTAAATTTATAATGTCAAATTATATTCAATTTGAGTTATTTTTCATCATTTTTGTAGATCACCAGTACTCCTATTTAACATGTGAACGTTAATTAAATCTAAAACGTCTAATCTACCTACTCTAAACTTATGCAAAGTTTTAGATTTTTTTAATTTTACACTCGTCGAACTTCCTTTGTAAGTAAGAAGACGCGCATTTAAAAATTTGTAAAGAACAGTTATCGAAAATAAAAGAAAATATGTCCAAAAAGAAAAAAATAATATCCATTTTATAACAATTCACATTTTCTCGTCGTTAGTTGGAGTATAAAAACACTCTGACAATAAGCGATTATTCCTGGATTAAGCCTAAAAATTTGAAGGAAAGGAAGGTTCAGAAG